TCTATCTATCTATCTATCTATCTATCTATCTATATTATCTGTGTGACACACACACACATGTGTGAAGACAGCCAGATGCAAGAACAAGCACAGGCTCAGACACAGACGTACGAAGATCTGTTTGTCTGTCTGTTTGCCGTCTCGCTCACACACACAAAAACCAACACAATGCCAGACACAAACACATGCAGGAGGGGGGGGGGAGGAGAGAGAGAGAGAGAGAGAGAGAGAGAGAGAGAGAGAGAGACGTTCGTATTGTCAATAATGTACCTCTAGTGAAATAGAAAGGCAAGAATGCAAGCGGCCAAGTGTTCTTGATATGCCACTAACTCTGTTGCTTGCGGCTGTCGCCAGTGCTGTTTCGGGACTTGCAGGTGACCATTGTGTTTGGCAAATTGGCAGCGTCGACTCGACCAGTTGCCTCACGACTGCCTTCAACGTCTACGAGGAGTGCAACTTCAGGATGAAGTCCTCGAGCTTGGCTATGGCGGTCATGATGGCCGTTGCGATAGGCATGGTCGTGCTGGTTGCTTATGCTCCCACTGTGGCAGGAGACGGGGGATACCAATGTTGGGCTGGCATGGATCACGGGCCGTCGACAATCAAGAAGATCAACTGCAAGAAGAACCCGCATGCGGCAAGCCTTGACGGATGCCAGCAGAAATGCAACATGAACGCGAACTGTGGGGGCATCGTTTTCATCAATGGCGGCGTTCAACACTGGAGGAAGGGCAAATACTGCTGCATCCTCAAGAGTGACATCGAAGAAGAGAGCTTCATGCCCGAGTTCGGCTCCACCCTGTGCGAGGTCCTGGAGGACTAGGCTCGGATGGAGGTACTGGCCCAGCTTCACCGCGGGCCTCTCTGTCTGTTGTTGTGGAACTGAGCTCGGATGGAACTGCGGGACCAGAATGGAACTAACTAAGCTCGGATGGAACTAGGGGACCAGAATGGAACTAAGCTCGGATGGAACTACGGGACCAGAATGCTTGGATGGAACTACAGGACCGGAATGGAACTAAGCTCGGGTGGAGGAACTACGGGACCAGAATGGAACTAAGGTCGGATGGAGCTACGGGACCAGAATGTAACTAAGCTCGGATGGAACTACGGGACCAGAATGGAACTAAGCTCGGATGGAACTATGTGACCAGAATGGAACTAGGGGACCAGAATCTCACTCTTGTTTTGAATGATGCCCCTCACGGATGTTTGACTCCTGGGGGGGGGAGAGAAAGGAGACGGATACCCACCTACCGTAGACGTCGAGGTCAGAAAGGAGTCGGCTGCGGAGAACGGAACGAGAAGAGGCCTCGACAAAATTGATGTCACTGTTATGAAGTAATATGAACATTAGGAAAACGGGCAAAAGCAGGTGTGCCTTTCTTTAAGTCAATGTTTCCAACTTTCCAGTCTGCGGGGGGGGTATAGGAGGGATCATAGAGCTATCTAGAAGACTATTAAGAGGTTCAACTTAACGAGCCGAAAGCCATGATCACCTTTGAAGCAGATGGAGTGATGGACGACCTCACGGTTGCGCGAGGAGAGGGGTGTCCGTCATCTGTTTTGCCCTGTTCTCTCTCTCCACGTCAAGGCGGACAAGTCATGGGCTATAACACTGACAGCTTTTGCATGCATAGGATCACATTAACAACGACGGACTCTGTGAGTTATGAGTTCATACTAGGTCTAAATGGTCGGTCACATGCCGTGGATGATATACATGCCGTGGATGATGTATGCACACTTGGAGCAAAGATGCGATGTTTGTTCCGTACAGTTCTGGTCACATTATAACTTCACAAAAAAAGAAAAAGAAAGAAAAAAAGGTATGCTGAAGTGGATCATCGACTCATGTTGACAAAGAAATGTTTTTTAATTCCGCGATTGCCCGAGACATGCGCCTCTTTCTCCGGCGGGGTACTCAGACGAGAAGGTGGAAGGGGGGCCTAGGTGTACGCCATAGCTCGATATGGGCCTATGGCCTCTATTATTACTCGGTGTTCTATGCTCATTTTTTTCTGGAGTAATTCATTTCGAGATTTCTTCGCAACAACGGCTGTGTGTGTTTGCGGTGCAACAACGGCTATGTGTGTTTGCGTGTGTGTCAGAGTCAGCTCGCTATGGCCTCTTTCCCCAAAGCTCACTCAAAGTGATGGATGCTGTGTTGAGTTGGTGTTCCTCCTCCCTTTCCATTCGTAAGAAAGGGAGTCACAAAATGAGTTAAGATTGCACTATGGGCCAATTTGAAGATACAGTTTCAAATTGCAGTTCGGGCAATGTATACAACCCAGCTGGCTGGCCAGGTGTAGGGTGCCGGAAGTGCAATTGCAAACTGTATCTTGGCCCATATTAGAACAATTATAACTCCTGTTTGTGACTCTACTGAAGTTACTGCATTCTTTTTTTTGAAAAGAATCATCCATCTTTTTTTTTCTTTTTTTTTGTAAAACACCCCGTAAGGCTGTGTGTCCGAAACTGGATTTAATGTGGGCCCCGCGTTAAATAATTTAACGCGCGTTAAATTCGCGTTAAAATCCCGTTAAAAAGTGTGTTGGACGCGAATTAACGGGGTCAGCGAACCCGGTTTTTGTGCGTTTGGGGGGGGGGGTCGGGGTTTCTGAAGGTGTGGGCTGGTGGGG